ACACTTTCTCACAGTGTCTCCAACAATCCATGCCATGTTTGACTCTACCTACATCTATCTATGTTCTTCCTCACCCCCCTCCCTTCCACAATATCTCCAACAAAACAATCCATGCCATGTTTAACTGTACCTACATCTATGTTCCTCCCCCCCACCCCACCCCTCCTTCCCTTCCACAGTGTCTCCCACAACCCCCACTCTATGCTCGACTCCCTCCAGCTGGAAGAGGGAATCTCCCCTGAAGCTCTGGCCGAGCTGGCGTCACTAGGCCACGACCCACATATCGTCTCGGGTCACGGGCGGGCCGTGTTTGGCCGGGGTCAGGTCATCTCCCAGGGGTCGTGGTGGAGGTCAGGACTGGAGGACAGAGACACGGATGTCTACTGGGCGGGTTCGGATCCTCGGGGGGACGGACTTGTGGCTGGTTATTGAGTTACTCCTTTTTAGGATGTGATTTGTGGCTGGCTATTGAGTTACTCCTTTTTAGGATGTGACTTGTGGCTGGCTGTTGAGTTACTCCTTTTTAGGATGTGACTTGTGGCTGGCTATTGAGTTAATTCCTTACAGGTGTAACTTGTAGCTGGCTATTGAGTTAATTCTTTACAGATGTAACTTGTGGCTGGCTATTGAGTTAACCCTTTTAGGATGTGATTTGTAGCTGGCTGTTGAGTTGATTCTGTAAGGATGTAAATTGTGGCTAGCTAATGAGTTATTTTATTAAAGATGTAATTTGTGGCTGGCTATTGAGTTAACCCTTTTTAAGATTTATTTGTGGCTATCTATTGAGTTAATTCTTTAAAGATGTAACTTGTAGCTGGCTGTTGAGTTAAACCTTTAATTGGCTGGCTATTGAGTTGAATCTTTAAGGACAGACTTGTGGATGGCTATTGAATTAACCCTTTAAAAATGTAATGGACACATGTGTTTAACAGCATACCAAAGGCCATGTTATGACATTTGAATGATCATACATAAATGAGAATAAGATACACAAATTTTGTTTATGTCCATAATACGATATGCATGCTGTTGTCTGTTTTTCTTAGGTTTCAGATGAAGAAAACATGAAATGAAAAATTTGTGTGATTAACAAAGTGTTATTGAAGTGCCCCAAAATGGTGCATCTTCAAGCAGTGTGGAATGAACAGAATGTGTGTCCTAAATACTTAACCCTTTCCCTACCAGATGATTGTTCCTCTCTGTGACTGTTGATTTAACCCTTTCCCTACCAGTGCAAGACAATTTTTACTCTCTGTGACTGTTGATCTATCAAACATCTATCGTCCTTACCTCTCAGATACTGACAGACGTACACCACACCTTTATTGAACACTTTTCTTCTCTGTGAGTTTTCTCCTTGCTAGTCTTGAAGGGGGCACCACTGAGAGATAAGTACTTTGTAGACTCCTGTGGTGCCCATTTCTGACAATATTCAAATTTTGCCTGATTTCCGCGACTTAATAAAGAGATAAACTCTTGATGCAAGGTGTAGTAGACAATGTGATATGTGAATTTTGAGTTCCTGCGTGCACGTTTCCATGAGGTCAGAAAAGTTCAGGGTTTGGGGGGGGGGGTTTCCTAGTCTTGTGACGGCTCTGATGTTCATTACCAAGGTGTTAAGCTTAAAAGTGTTTTAAAAACATTTTGCAGGTTATACTGTAGTGAATGGGAGTCCAGCGATGTCACTGGGTCCAACATTTAGCTTTTTCCAAGTCTCTAATTTTGGTCAGAGAAATCCACAAATAACAAAAGTGAGCAATTTAGACAGATGATTGTATGGGGTATATATGGGTTTCTACCTTAAATGCGTTGTATTACAATGCCATGTTCCAGGTGTACATCAGCTTTATTTGCTATAAATTTTGTGTGCCCCCTTTTTTATTCATTCTCTGTGTTCAACTTTTATATACATTTAGGCTTACATGCATTTCAGTCTCCAAATGTGTTACACCAAATCCAAAGTAATGGAGAAAAATAGAATACAGTGCAGCCTCTCTATAACGACTTTTGATATAACAACGTCCTCTGTATAACGACATGATGCCCAGGTCCCAATTTTTTCTCTATATATTAATCATTAGTCATTTTTGGTTGCTTCTCTATAACGACAGTTTTTCCTGGCCCCAGCGATTCCATTATAGAGAGGCTGCACTGTACAGATATTACCTCATTTGTTATATTATGGTGATGTAGAAAAATGCTCAAAGTGGCCAGTGCTATTTATTATTATCATTATCATCATCATTTTTATTATTAATTGATATTATTATTATTATTATTATTATTATTATTATTATTATTATTATTATTTTTGTTTTTATTTTGATATTATTGTTATTAAATATTATTATTACTATTATTATTATCACTATAATTATTAATGTATTTTAATGTATTTTATTATTATTATTATTATTACTATTATTATTATCACTATTTATTTGATTAATAGTATTGCTATTATCTTTGTTATTGTCTAAAAGCAGTATATACTTATTTGGAGAAATATTGAACCGCTGTGTATCATATTAAACAGTTATTTTACAATGAAAGTATGAAAATTCAGTTGGGTTTTTTTTCTTTTAATTTGCAATGTGTGTGTGTGTGTTTTTGTGTACACTGTATGTGTGTGTGTGTGTGTGTGTGTGTGTGTGTGTGTGTGTGTGTGTGTGTGTGTGTGTTTTTGTGTACACTGTATGTGTGTGTGTGTGTGTGTGTGTGTGTGTGTGTAACATGGGTGCACTGTGTGTGTGAACTGTGTATGTATGCTTTTTTAGGTACTGGGGTCACATAATCGGGGATTGAGTCGATATTTCAGCGGGGAAAATATCATGTATAAAAGAGACTTTTGCTGTCAAGAATATTTCTCGTGAGCAACTCACGCCTGATTAGTGATGGGAAACATTCCAAAAACTTTTATTGACCCCTTGTCGAATTTTGTTGCAATGGCACACAGACATACAGACACATACTATAAAGACACATACATAAATTATCATTATCATTATGTGCCAGAACAGCAACAGACATCGGCGATCATGGTTTTCTATTCATTTCCCTGCTTTGATGCTCGTAAAAAAGCAAACAAACCCATTTATTGTTATCTGTTCAGATTTCTAAACGACCGAATTATGTCAAGAAACTTGAGCGTATCCTCATTATAAGTGTGTCAAGAAACTTGAGTGTATCATCATTATAAGTGTTTCAAATGACTTGAGTGTATCATCATTATAAGTGTTTCAAATGACTTGAGTGTATCATCATTATAAGTGTTTCAAATGACTTGAGTGTATCATCATATTATAAGTGTGTCAAGAAACTTGAGTGTGTCATCAATATAAGTGTGTCAAATGACTTGAGTGTATCATCATATTATAAGTGTGTCAAGAAACTTGAGTGTATCATCAATATAAGTGTGTCAAGAAACTTGAGTGTATCCTCTCCATTATAAGTGTGTCAAGAAACTTGAGTGTGTCATCAGATCGTGGACATCATCTGCTGCTCAGAACTCCTGGCCCTGCTACAAGCCACACAGGTGGGGGACTTTCCGGTGACGTTGTGTGTGGTTGCCATGGATACTCTGAGTTCTATATAGTTGTTTTCTAGATGCTGGAGGTTAAATTACTTAAATGAGTAGAAAAACGTTATATCAGTTTTGGGATTCTCTTTTTTTTAAAATGTAACTCAAACATAGGTTGGTGTTTAGACGTTGACTGTTTAGTTTCGTCAATTTTTGTCTACGTTCTCCGCATGGCAGGTACACTGTCACCATAACAGTCAGCTTGGTCTGCCTGTTCGACTTTGTTACTCACGACAGGTTCGGACATACACACACACACACACACACACACACACACACACACACACACACACACACACACACACACACACACACACATACACAAACACACACATACGCAAAAACGCACACACACATACACACATACATATACACATACGCAAACACACACACACACACACATACACACACATACGCACATACACACATACACACACACACACACACACACACACATACACACACACACACGATGTTTCCATAGTTTCAGTGTTGAAGTCATACAGGGTGCCTTTGTGAAAAACCTAAACTAAGGGCTAGCTTCTTGTTGAGCATCATGTTTGTAAGTTGTGTGCCGTGTCATGGTTATTTTACCCCCGGGGCGGTGCCACTGACTGAAGTGTCTTTGGGACATTCCCAAAGGGGGGACATTTCTCGTTCATGCACAGTAGAATTATAAATGGGCTGATTCATCAATGTCATGCTCATAACTGTGCCTGATCTACAACAGAGAACTGCTGCTTTTTCTTTCCTAATCCTTACTATTGTCAAATTTCCTCTACTTCTTTTGTATGTTTGTCACACTCTTGTGACCCGCTATTTCCGGGGTGCCTTGAAAGTTGAAACAGACTTTGTGTTTTGGAAGCTAGAGAGGTGAACAGAGTAAGCCTGATTCCCTTTAAGGACTTCTCTGTTGACATCCACCCCTTGGCGCTCATATGATCTTATGCAGTTCCAAGTGCTGTAAAACCTCTACTAAATAAATAAACGTGGTTATTTTGGTAAGATAACAACGACAGAAACGATACCGAAACAACATCTGATTCACGAATATGTCATGATAAAAGCATGTGGTTTATTGAGTGCTGAATCATTTCAAAGTAATGTACATGGGAGTGTTGCAAAAGCCATTTGCGGTTTTCCAAATATCTGAGTGGCCAAAGGATAGAGGCAAAAGTTGGAAGACACGACGGGGGAGTTTAGGCATAACCAAAACAAAACTCAGAAAAAAACGTCAGTTAAGTCAGAGAGGTTCGACCCGCTCAATATCTACGAACGTAGACTTGTATAAGCTGTATGGTCGGGGAGGGGGCGGGGTGGGGTGGGTGTCAATATTTGCAGCGATCCGAAAATTAAATATGAGTACGTTTTTTTGTTGTTGAAGTATTTAATGTACCGGTACTGAATGCACATAAAGGTTCTGAACATCTTGTTCTAACAGGTAACGCTGAGGGCAAACGAAGCAGGGGTAGACCCAGAGCGACCTACTTGGAAAGCCTAAACAGAAGGGTAACGGGAAAAGATCAGGATAATGTACATGTAGTTTGTTGGAAGCACTCGAGCAGAAAATTGAATGGAGAACCAGGATATCAGATGTGTGTGGCAGATCTGGCATTTTATGAAAGACAAATGTCCCAGAGCAACTCACTTAGAACATCTTAGCAGATGGGTCATGGGGAGAGATGGTTAGAGCAAGGAAATGAGTGGCAAACCATGATCGCCGATGTTGTAGCTGGTCTGACACTTGATGATGATGGTGATGATGTTGAGTCTGTGGTCAGTGGGCGGTCGGTGGGTGGTCAGTGGGTGGTCACTCCCAGCTGAAG